ACACTCTCACACGCGCACACACACACACACACACACACACACACTCACACTCACACGCGCACACACACACACTCACACACACTGACACTCACACTCACACACACACGTGCACATGCACACACTAACCTCAGCCTCACCCAACCTTCACCTCAACCTCGGCTAATATCACACTGATCCCATCAAAACCTCATTAAAATCATCATTTCAGGTGGCAAACCTGGGTAGATTACTTACAAATTGTAGTCTGTTACTGATTCCAAATTACATGACAAAAATTTTAATTAGTAACGTAATTCATTACATCACACATTTTAGCTAAAATAATCAGACTACTTTTTGATTACTTTTAGACTACTTTTGACCTAACTTGTTTATCACATTGATTTCAATAGAATAATCTTGTACCATATCGATATAAAAATGCAAAGAAAAATTAAATATATTTCATTCGTTGTTATTGACAACATGAAGTGCATTAAATATTACATTACGTCAAGGTTTCCCAAACTGGGGTTCGAAAATTAACCTAAGGAGGTTCGTGAGTTAAATGAAAAGCAAATAATTAATTAAATAAAAAAAGTAAAATTAAAATAAATTATAAAAACAAAAACATCAAAATAACATAAAAATAAAACACTTACTAAAAAATTATTAAATATTTTAGTTATTTTATTTGTTTTCTTGCGTGTCATGTTTTGAAACCTCAGGGCTACTTCAAGTAAATATATTAGGTGAAAGAGGTTCGGATGACAAAAAAAGTTGGGGAATTCCTGCATTACATAAGAAATAAATAAGAAATAATGTGAATGTGTGCATTTTAATGTGTTTGAAAGACAAAAGTCTTCCAAAGACAAAGTAATACATGATTAAATAACCCTCCGAGTGATAATTAAAATAAAATTTTTCTGTGTTCATCAGTAGTTCATGTAATAATGCTACAAAAACGCTTCTTAAAATTGAAATGATTTTTGTAAATCCAGTGGTCAAATGCTGTGTGGCCCCTCAAAATCCTGTGTAATTATATCCACCTGACTAATGACTGATGTCTGTGTGAATGTCCACAAAACTGGACTTTCTGAATATATACAAGCAGTAGGCGATTTTAGAAATAAACATGTAAAAGAAGAAAAATAAATTAGGGAGAATCAATAAAGTACACTCTTAAAAATAAATGTGCTTCACGATGCCATAGAAGAACCTTTTTGTCTAAATGGTTCCACGGCTCTCCAGGACTGGAGTTCGCCACCCCTGTTCTAGGGCATCGCTGTGAAGAACCTTTTAAGCACCTTTATTGTTAAGAGTGTATGAATAATATGTAATCATGTAATCAATAAAAAAGTAACTGTAGTCTGATTCCGAGTATTTTAAAATGTAATTTAATTTACTGACAAGTACTACATTTTGGGAATCTGATTATGTAATCCAGATTAGATGTTAACAGTTATACCCAGCTCTGTCAGCTGGACCAGCAAAATCCATCTCCTCAGTTTGTCATTTGTTGGTACCTTCAGCAGCCAGCAGTGTGCTCCTGATGTAAAGCTCCAGGTCCTCGGCTCCTTTACGGCTCCGCTCTGCATCTGCTGCCGTCTGCTCCCCATCAGCAGACACTTTAGTCGTCTGCATGAGACAAAAACCCAATGAAAGCGCAGTGAGATTTTATCGAACGGTCTCAGATCAGCCTCACATGCTCTTCTGCAGCCGTGTGAAGAAGAAACCAACCTCAGGATAAAAACAACAAGACACATTAGATCTGACACCTCTGGGGCCAACATGAACAAAAACCTCAAAGAAATGCTGCAAAACCGCAATACTTCCAGTTTGGCAGAAATGTTTGTGAGCGCAGAGGTTTTCTATTGAACTGGCTCTTGAACGTCTGCTCTCTGAAAAAGCTGCTTTAGAGCTGAACTATAATGAGTTTATCAAGGACTTCTGTTGAGAAGAAGGTGAAAGGTTCCCTTCTGCACAAATGAGCAGAACACTTCAGACTATGAACAAATTAATGTTCTGGCTTTCTTTCATGTTGAAAAACAAACCGGCAAGTTCAGGGTCTTACAGGAGTGATTCAGACGTTATATGTAAAATACAGATTTACACAAGAACCATTGGAGCCCAGCTTCAGAAAACATGCCCATTCATTTTGCTGTAGAAGTATAAACTTAGGAATAAAAAAAATGTCTGCATTCATAGATGTACAATACAGTCTATACGAATGAGACCTCAAACTGTGCTCAAGCTATACAAACTGTCTTATGATTTATATAACCAGATAACTTAAATGATTTATGTGTTTTGCTCCCCATGTGCTCCCATTGACCTAGTTTTCCCTTGTGTGTGACATGCCCATATTTGGTTATCTTCCTGTTCCTGTTCCGATTGTTTTTGATTGATCTCAGGTGTGTCTCATTAATTAGGTTAATTAATTATCTCCGAACCTAATACTTTATTTGCATTTTCCCCTTCATTTGTTTTCCGTGTTTCGTACAGTGTTTTTTGTTTCCGTTGTGTTCCCCATGGATCCCCTCGCCTCTAAGTTTACCTCCCTTGCCCGTAAAAAGACCTTCCCTTCTTGGAGTATGCTGTGGAGTTCAGCCAGCTCGCCGTTTTAACGGCGTTCGACGATGTTGCGCTGAACTCCCTGTTCTGGATCAGGGCCAACTACTACCGCCTCGTCGACCTCCCAGACACCACCGGACTGTGCTGGAGGGAGGCAATCATCTGGTGTCTGGAAAGCGTCTACCCCCGATCCAGAACACAGCCAGACCCAGAGCCCAGCCCACCATCACCCCGCTGCGTGGAGCAAGAGCCTGAGCCCACCACTGACGGAGAGCCAGAGCCCGTCGCAACCAACGAGCCATCGCCTAGGAGTGCGACAGAGCTGAGGATCGTCAGACCAGGTGCGAGAGCCGGCTACAATGCCCGCCACGAGGGAGAAAACCATGGACAGAGAGAGCGCAGAGAGGAGCTCCGCCCCCTGCACTGTGGCTGAGGGTGAGCTGAGAATGGATCTGGGTGAATGGAAAGTGGAAGGAGACCTTATTGACTTGTATACCGACCTGCCCCCTCTCCTCCCTCCTCCGTCGGTGACCTCTGTCCCTCTCGTTCCTGAGTTTAGCCCAGAGAGGGCTCCCATTTCCACTTCCAGCCCAGAGAGGGCTCCAGTTCCTAAGATTAGCCCAGAGAGGGCTCCCGTTCCTGAGTTTAGCATAGAGAGGACTCCTGTTTCCCTGTCAATCCCAGAGAGGGCTCCTGTTCCTGAGTTTAGCCCAGTGAGGGCTCCTGTCCCCCTGTCCAGCCCAGTGAGGGCTCCTGTTTCCACGTCCTGCTCAGAGAAAGACTGTGTCCCCGAGTGGAGACCTGTCAATCCCCTGTCAGTCGCGCTCCCCGTGCTGGGAGTCGCAATTTGGTGTGTGTGGGCAGCGCACACCAGCCCTGAAAGCCCGGAGGCTCACAAATGCCCGCCCACCCGCCTGCTCCTGCTTCCTCCCCCTCTGTCGTCTGGCAGCCCCTCTGCTCGCCCTCAGCCCACCATCTGTACGGTGCGAGCTCCGCGGGTCTGCCAGTCTCCATCGTCGACGTGGCTGGAGAATCTCTTGCCTCCGCCTCCAGCCTCTAAGCCCCGGGCTCCGCCTCGGCCCGTCGACCCAGCGGCTCCACCATGGCTCCTAGCACCCTCTTCTCCGCCGTGGCCCATCAGTCCACGGGCTCCACCGGGCTCCCTCGTCCCTCCGGCTTCGCCTTGGTCTGTCGTCGACCATTCTGCGCCTTGGGACTCAACTCCTCCGGCTGCGCCTCGTCCCTCCGGCTCCGTCAGGCTCCTCCTTCTCTCCGGCTCCACCTTGGTCCTCTGTCGCTCCGGCTCCACCGCGGCCTTCTGAATCCCCGCCTCCATAACTGTCGCCTGAGCCATCTGCTCCGCCTTGGCCCTCAGGATCCTCTTCGTCGCCCTGGCTCATCGACTCTCCGTCTCCGCCTCGGGCTCCTCCGCCACCTGCTCTGCCGCCATTGGTCGGCCCCTGGAGTCCTCAGCCCTTCCTCCACCATGGCTCCTCCCTCCGTCGGCTCCACCGTGGGTCCCCATTACGGCTGTGGCCTGGGTCCCACCTGCCGCTGCATGCTCCAAGTCCCTCCTGTCGTCTCCCTGGCTCCTCCCTCCGTCTGATCCGCCCTGGCTCCTCCTGTTTCCTCCTTGGCTTCTCCCTCCATCGTCACCTCCCTGGACTCTGTCTGTCGGCCCCCTCCCGGGTGTCCGTCCTCCTCCTGAACCTCCTCCCAAGTTCCCACCCGTCCCTCCTTCTGTTGTTTCGTCGGCGCGAGGACGCACCTTCCGGGAGGGGGGCGATATTGTCAGAAATATGGACTGTCTGTGTGTGTTTTGCTCCCCATGTGCTCCCATTGACCTAGTTTTCCCTCGTGTGTCACATGCCCATATTTAGTTATCTTCCTGTTCCTGTTCTGATTGTGTTTGATTGATCTCAGGTGTGTCTCATTAATTCCCTCGTTTAGTTCAGTATTTAAAGTGTGTTCTGCCCCTTGTTTCCTGCTTGGTGTTATATGTCATTTGGTGCTATGTGTGTCTCCTGCGTGCCCTGTTTCCCCTGTGATTTGGATTATTAAAGACTCTCGTGTGGTGTAACTCCTACGTCTCGCTCCTCACAGTAGCGAACCCTGACGACAACAAAATGTGTGAATTTATTTATTTATAAAAATATTCTTGCAATTTAAAATAACTGTTTTCTATTTGAATGTATTTGTGAATGTAATTTTCAGCATCGTTACTCCAGTCTTCAGTGTCACATGATCTTCAGAAATCATTCTAATATACTGATTTGCTGCTCAAGAAACATTTCTGATTATTATCAATGTTGAAAACAGTTGTGCTGCTTCATATCTTTGTGGAAACCAAGATACACTACCATTCAAAAGTTTGGGGTAAGTAAGATAAAAAAAAATAAAAAAATTTTCAGAAAACATGGATTAAATTAACAGTGACATTAAAGACATTAAAAAAGTCATAAAAATGCTATTTCAAAGAAATGCTGTTCTTTATCAAAGTATTTTAAAGTAAAAATAAAATGTATCTCAATTTCCAATGTATATATATTTATTTATTTGGGCAGCACAACTGTTTTCAACACTGATAATAATCAGAAATGTTTCGTGAGCAGCAAATCAGTATATTAGAATGATTTCTGAACATCATGTGACACTGAAGACTGGAGTAATGATGCTGAAAATTACGTTCATAAATACATGATCACAGCTTTGATCACAGAAATAAATTACATTTTAACTTATATTCACATAGAAAACAGCTATTTTAAATTGCAATAATGTTTCAAATTTGTACAAGTATTTTTGACCAAATAAATTAATCCTAGGTGAGCAGAAGAGACTCTGTGCCCCAAATGTCTCTTTTATGTTACTGTGAAATAAATAAAACTTAATGTAGAGTCACATGGTTCAATTCCTAATAATACCAATGTTTAAAAAACCCACACATTTAGACTCAACGAAGGCCACCAGGAGATGTTTGCATGCATGCACTTTCAGCTGGCACTAAATTTGATGCTGAATTTAGATGGTTTACGGTTAGTGAAGGAGTGATTACTGTAAGGACTGAATAGATCAGGGCCCGTATTCACAAAACATTTTATCTTACCACTAAGAGTTCTCCTAAATAGCAGTAAAAGTCTCTCTGTCAGAGATGTATTCATAGAAATATTGCAGAGCGCGATATTATGTTCCCACATTCAAATAAAGATTTTAAAATGCAGGCTAAGAGTCACTAATTAAACAAGTATATGTTCAGCTAACTGTCAGCCTCTTACATGTATGCTCCTCGTAAACAATTAGCGGATATGCATATAAACAGCCTTTTAATTAACAGAGTAGAATAATCACGGCTGATAGTAAGACATGCAAACGTAAAAGAAAACCAAACTGGACGCAAGCACAGCTGTTACTTCTTGCCGAGCTGATTAATGAAAACAAGGATATAATCAAAGGAAAATCTGGAGTTGGGATAACCTCCCAAACCAAACTGCCAGCAACAGCCATTTAAGGATAGTTTTTGGCTTGGTCTTAGTGACTTAGGAGTCCTCTTCACTGCTCCTAACGTTTCACAGATTTATCAGCTAGTTTTAGCGCTACAACGCTTTGTGAAATACTCTAGGAGTCCTAAATTTAGGACTGACACGCCCCTTTTAAGATTTTCTCCTAAATCGGCGAGTTATGAGCTACTTTTAGCCTTAAGATGTTTTGTGAATACGGGCTCAGATGTTTACGGTGTGAGAGACTCACCCTGCTGAGCAGCTCGTCCATCTCAGTGACCAGACTGCCCAGGTTACTGTGGGCCAGCTGCAGCAGTCTCTCCGGGGCTCTCTGAGGGGACAGCATGTGCTGCAAACACACGTCACCGCCATCAACAAACCACTGACCGACACAGACACACTCACACTCACACTCACATTACAGGCCTCATTTGACATCACTCAATCATGAATCATGCAATGAATGATTCCAGATATACGTGCAAAACTACATTGTAAACAACTCAAATATAGATGCTAATTCGCAGCAGATGAGTCAATTTGACGTAATTAGAGCTTCTCCAAATGAACCTGCTGTCTTACCGGAGCTTCAACTTCAAGTACAGCACAATTACTGCTATAGTGTCTGTGTTCAAGACTTTATACTTTACTTTCTAGTGCTGACTTTAACTCTTTTTCAGCTTCTCTGTGTCACTACCCAGGTGAAAAAAGTAAATTTCTATAATATACTTAAAGTACTCTATTTTTGCACACTAATTTTTTACTTAATATAAAATACTTAACTAAAAATGATTCTTATTGAGATAAACTTAAGATCATCTAAGTGTACTCAACTGTGCTATTTTGGGACACCGTGAATATGAACTAAACTGTGCTTTTGACATGCCATCTCTGTATTTAAAAATGTACTTAGTCACCGCTTGTAGTACACTTGAGTGTACTAGTGTATGAAAGATGGTTCAAGTGTACTACAAGTGGTAACTAAATAAATTTTTTAAATACAGAGATAGTAAAGTGCATTTTAGTTCATATTCACGGTGTCCCAAAATAGCACAATTGAGTACACTTGGATGATCTTAAGTTTATCTTAAGAAGTACTAAAGAATCATTTTTAGTATATTAAGTACAAAATTAGTGCGCAACATAGAGCACTTTAAGTACATTATAGAAATTTACTTTTTTTTCACCTGGGTATTAAGGTGGAGCATGCAACCAATCAACGTTGCACCAGAAAACATTTTACAGACATGTGTATGTTGTAAATGAAATGTAAAAAAATTAGGACTGTCAGATGATTAAAAGGTTTTAACTCAATAACATGATGTGCAGATTAATTCATCACAATTAATTGCAAATATCTCTTTCTGCAGAGAAAAGTCCTCAAATGAAGATAATTAGATGAAATTACTGTGTTGTGTAAATCATTAATTATACAGCAAGTGACTACTAGTCAGTTCACTGTTCCTGTATTTCATATCATTCTATCACTGGCCTATTCAGCAGCAATCCATTTTGCTATTGAATTTATGAATCTGATTGATCATCTCTGAATTTAATAACACATCCTGTAAATTAGTGCTCACCTTCAACTCCTCCGTCATGTTCTCGTATCGATACAGCACTTTATACGGCAGGGGGAGGGGCAGAGTGAGATTAACGCTGCCAATCAAATGCAGCAGACGATCCATGTCTCGAATCAAGAGTCCCGCGCAGTCGTCGTCACACGCTGAACACACACACACACACACACACACACACAGAAAATTGAACACATGGCAACACATCAGACTCATATAGTAACACATGCACACACACCCCACAGGCAGCACTACAACACACTGCACACATCCTCCAGATGCCATCTTACAAGGTCACACGGAAAAAAACTCCCCCCTCAGATACGCATATGCATGCTCAAGGTCAAGGGTCAAAGGTCAGGCACCAGCCTTAGGGCAGACAGTAAACAGTACATGTGAACATTAGTGGACAGTAACAAAGTATTTTTAACTCAGAGTATCAGAGTATTTCCATCCTGACAAAATGTTACTTTTACTCCACTATCTACAAACACACTGTTCTGCGTTATTTCAGGGCAAAATGAATAATAATGACATCTGATTAGTGAAAGAACAAAACAAAACAAAACAAAACAAACAACACTAAACACAAAACACAAAACAAACCAAACCAAACCAAACCAAACCAAAACAAACAACACTAAACACAAAACACAAAACACAAAACAAAACAAAACAAACCAAACCAAACCAAACCAAAACAAACAACACTAAACACAAAACACAAAACACAAAACAAAACAAAACAAACCAAACCAAACCAAACCAAAACAAACAACACTAAACACAAAACACAAAACACAAAACACAAAAAACAAAACAAACAAAAAAGTCAAAGCCAGTTCTTTTCATCAGGGTTATTAACTAAAACTAAACCATAAAACACAGTTTTGTTATTTGAAATGTTAACTGAAATAAAATAAAATATAAAACACTTAAACATTTTATTTCAGCTAGGTGCCAAAGCAACATTTCTCATTTCTATTTAGTTTAACTTGATGTACTAAAATATCTCAAACTAAAACTGAAAAAAATACAAAAATAAATAATAATAATAAAAACATACTTAAAAAAAACAGCTAATAAAACCTTAACTAATTCAAAAATAACTAATAAAAATAACAAAACACAACAAAATGACTAAAATGAATAGGAAAACAGAAAATACAGAATACAAACTAGTAAAAAAAAAAAAAAAAGATAAAAATAACAATAATTGAAAAAAAAGTTCGGGGAGTTTGGGGCGGAGCTATCTGATTGATTGACAGAAGGGGGCAGTGTTCAGTAAACCAGTCATTATTCTTGCAGCCCTATTTTGAGGCCTTAGTCACATAGCAATTACACACTTGAGCTACACTAGTTGTACGTTTACTCAAGTGCAAATTAAAAAGGAGTGCACATACTTGTAGACAGTGTTGGGCAGTAACGCATTACTGTAATTTGATTACTTTTTTAGTAACGGTGTAATTTAACGCATTATCATTTTCAAAATAGTAATTAGAGTATAGTTACAAGCCGAGGTCTCTATACGTTACTGCCGCGTTACATTGCTGACAGAATGCAGTGTTTTATCATCTAGAGATTGTAAAAAGGGTGTAGCACACGCACTGTCGAGTAATAACAAATATTTATCAGGAGCTTTTATGCTGAGATTTCATGTACATTTCATGGATGTAGCCACAGAAAAAAGTAATGCGACTAATTATTTTAGAAATAAAGTAATCAGAACAGTAACGTGATTACTTTTAAAAGGAGTAATCAGTAATCAGTAATTTAATCACATTTTCAGAGTAACTTGCCCAACACTGCTTGTAGAGCAGTCATATTTGATCAGGCATATGTACAGGACGAGTGCTTGTGAATATGTGTGTGTGTGTGTGTGTGTGTGTGTGTGTGTGTGTGAGAGAGAGAGAGGGATGGGGATGGACACAGGTCCTGGGGCAAGAATGCTGGTAACGAATGTTCCTGGCCTCTTTTGTCTCTCTTCCTCTGCTATCACAACAGCACTCATCCAGCATCCCTCCATCATCTCCATCACCTGCTCGGAGGGAGAGCCGTGTCCCCGAGCACTTCTCTCTCTCTAGATTAAACGTGAGAGAGGTGGAAACTCAGGGGAGCAGGACTTCTCAAGCGTGAAATTTAACAGAGAGTGTGAAACAGCTCCTGGCAGCCCATTATGGGTGTTTGACATGCCACGAGCGATAGCGGGAGGAAAAAAGACACCGACAGGCACGTAGCTTTCGCCGCGGACGCAAAGCGCCGCTCAATTTAACCTCTTGAAAAAATAGAGCTATTAAGACTTCCTGTGAAGACGCCTTTTCACGTAAAAGACGGAACGAGTAAAGGTGCGGAAAGACCTGGAAGGAAAAGCGCTGCACTGAAGAGTTCACGAAAGCCAAATCTCAATGATCAATCTTTACAGCAGGGTGGTGCCTCCATATTAAACAAAGTATTTTCACTCATTCCTCAGTGTATTTTACAAAAAAAAAAAAAAAAAAAAAGAAGAAGAAAAAAAATAGCACATATAGCACTTAGCTTAATGCACTAGCAATGAAAGTTAAATTAAGACTAAATTAAGACCCCTGACACTTTGAACTCGATACATACTATGAAGCATACAGAACTCATTATTATATTATATTATACATTTGTATACTTTTTATTTTATAATTTTTTTATAAATCAGATTTTATTGAGTCCTAAAGATTTTATTGAAAAACGATATTGAACTACTATTGTACAGTGAAATAAATAAACTAATTTAAAAAAAATCAGTATCAATAATCAATTATATCAATAATCATCATTATCATCTCACACAAATGTGCACACACAGAAAAATAATAATTATTTAAATTATGAAAAAACAAAATAAATTAACATAAGAATATATTACTATTGCAACAACATAGTTTGTACAGTTAATTATATTGTACAGTAATTATTTTAAATGCATAAAATAAATAATAATTATTATTATTATTATTTATTTTCTTATTTTACGGATCAATAAATTACTACACTAATGTAGTCACGTTGGTCATGCTTCTCAGGATGGAAAACACAAAAATCCATTAAAAAAATGACATCCCTGATACATTTGATGCTGGATTATGAAGCGACACACGTCACACATCACACATACACAGAAAAACACATGCATTATTACCCAATCTGCCCAGTCAACCAATACAATTATGATAAAACACATAACTGCCAAAAGACATGATTTCAAACCGCGTGGTGAGGAGCAGGTGTCTAGCGCAGCAATGCAATCTGATCTCTCCAAGCTGAGAAAATGATCAGTCAACAATTATACGAAAAGTAAACAGTAATTTTGTGAGGGGAAAATCTGAGCATGTCTAATTAAAATGTTGTTTGTTTTGGCTGCATCTCTTCTCTGTTATTAGTGGCTGTTTATGGCAGAAGAAACAAAGACACAGAGGAATAAATCAGATCGACCTAACTTAGTTAATCATATGTGACCCGTGCTGGCAAAATAAGTCGGAATGCGTAGGGTCTAATTTTGAGCTACAGGCAAAAAAAAAAAAGAAAGGGAAACATTTAGATTTTGTATTCATGCAAACATAATCAGTTGTGTCTTAAGTGAACATTTGGGGAACTGTTGGGGAAAACATCTGATGTGTAACATTATATTAGATCTGTGCAAAATAGTAGGTCTTAATAGGCTGTCTGTCTCATTAATGTTAGTCTAACAATAAAAGAAAAGAGGGAATCACTTGATTGAACTGCTTTTGTAGTACTCTATCGACTTCAAACGACTGTAGCTCAGTCATTTTTTGTCCAATTCCAACAACTCATACGTGACCCTGGAGCACAAAACCAGTCAGAAGGGTACATTTTTTGAAATTGAGATTTATACATCATCTGGAAGCTGAATAAATAAGCTTCCCATACAAAGTATTGTTGGCTATTGCTACAAATATACCCCAGCGACTTAACACTGCTTTTGTGCTCCAGGGTCACATATATCATTTTGAAGGTCTTTTAATTGAGAATGTAAAAATAAAAATAACTCATTTTTGAAAATTTGCTCATTGTGACTCATTTTGCCAGCACATGTCAAGGGAGAAGGGACGGTAGCAGAGAAGGCTCAGGGTCAAAGAGTGGCTCATGGTTTGTGTCATACGTACACACGATGCCCTGAGGGCCACACACATGCCTCTCCGGCACTGTCCGGAGCGCGGGTCACACGCGGAGGGAAATGCACCGTAAGCATCGCACTTACACTCCTCGCACCAGCCGCCCAACACGCTCGGGTTACCGTGGAAAGCAGAGAAGGCTCAGGGTCAAAGAGTGGCTCATGGTTTGTGTCATACGTACACACGATGCCCTGAGGGCCACACACATGCCTCTCCATGCACTGGTCACACTTCAGGCCGCTGGCTCCGGGACGGCACCGGCACTGTCCGGAGCGCGGGTCACACGCGGAGGGAAATGCACCGTAAGCATCGCACTTACACTCCTCGCACCAGCCGCCCAACACGCTCGGGTTACCGTGGAAACCAGCAGCGCACCTGCACAGAGCGCAATCACATTATCAGGCCTCTGGCAAAAATTACTAAGATTTGACTCGCATTCAACACTGCACGCTCATTTTCAACACTTTATTGACAGATTCGGCCATGTAAGTAACGACTTGTTTTACATCATTTAGAATATGTTTTCACCTTTCACAGTGTTTTCCCTCGTAGCCTTCAGGACAGGCGGTGCAGCGGTAGTCATTAAAACCCTCCTCACACTGGTAAGACAAAAGATGCGTAATGTTGCGACAAGACGACAGCTTAATTTTATTACAGACAGAATCGATACAAATGCAGCTTTTCAAGGAACACATAAAGTTCTCTCTTAATCTTGTTAAAATGCAACATTATGAACAGAAAGCTGGCCCCAGTTAAGAGATTTGCATTTCTCAAGTTGCCCAAGTCACACACCAAGAATGAGAGGAAAAACAGAGAGAAAGAGGCACAGAGGAGCGGCAGCTTTCAGAGTGGAGTGTAATCAGACTGCTGAAGTTGCGCTTTACTGGGCCGTGTCGCTCTGAAACTTTCATTAACTTCCTGTGTAGCTCAATTACTCAAATTACCCCCCTACACACTCGTTTACCATTTTCAATTTGCGAAAACCCGTAAAATGCAAATGATATTGCTATTAGCATGCATGCAATTGAAGGCAGAGAGTTGACTGTTCGATGCACAACTCTGGAAAAGCTGTTTGGAGAACTATTTGATTGCATGTCCATTTTGCACTGGACTAATGGACTCAACGGACCTGATTCTTCTAATGTGCTTTACTTGTATCTCTTTTCCACTAATGCGGTGCTGGATCCAGTCTGGCCCAATCTACATTTCCACTGCAGAAAAGCAGGTTCTGGGCAGCTCTTTTGTCATCACTTGGCCTGGAAATGCAAGCCTGTTCAGAGAGCGGTTCAAAGACACCCTGGCTGAAACTGGCTCCAGCACCATTTAGTTGGAAAATGGATATTGGATAATGGTTCATTAGCCGGGTTTCCATCCAAAGTTACGAATTTAACTTATGCGCAAAACTGGAATATTGCATAAAACATTTGCGAACAAGCATCGTTTCCATCCAACGAGTCAAAGAGAACAAAATCGTCACTTCCTGATAAACTGGCACTATAAATCACTAAGAAAAATAGGAGAATATAATCATTTTCATATATAATAAATTACTTGACGAAATGACGAAACACAATGAATGCGGTCACTGCTTTTGGAGGTGGATGCTGCTGTTTGGGAACAAAGTCGTGTAAGACATTTCTGGGAGGCAATTATACAGAAATACTTTGATGACAGACTTTGCTCAGGGATTTCAGAATGACCATAACATTTCAGATGCCGTGGAATGAGATCGGTCTGCTGGTTAGTCAGGATTTACCGTCCCATAGCGCAAAGTCACTTGGAGGAATTTATTCGCAAAATGCATTTCCATCTCCCATTATTTGCATCAACCCTTTTTCGCACAAGTCAAAAACCACCTCAAGCGAGTGTAAAATTTTTTTTGCGAATTAAGGGATTTTTATTCGAAATTTGCCGTTTCCATCACTCGTTTCTCATGCGATACTTCAAAATGCGCATTAAAATAGGGTGATGGAAACATAGCTAGTGATACCATTGCTGAGATATTCTGAGTGCAATGCTACTTCAACTCTCCACCAATGGGAGACACTCACTCAAGCCAATCCAATCAGGAAGGACGTGGACCAATCAGAGTAATGCAGCTCACAAACGCTTTCATTAAGGGTGTACGTACCTGGCAGACGGCTGTTTCAGGATCGCACGAGTCACTGTGTCCATTGCACTGGCACCGGACACAGGTGCCAAATCCCGCTCTGGACCAGCGGCATGAACAGAGAGCCTGTAGAACCCAGCCGCACATTCCTACAGCAGACATATAGTTACTCGCACGCACACACCGTACTACATCAGCAGGATCTTACCGCAACCTCTCACAAGAAAATCATATATTCATCATATTAATGTGACACTAAGGGGGTGTTTACACAACACTGTTTTCAACTAAATAGAAAACTTTTATGTGCTTTGGTCATTCATTTACACAACAATTGCGTTTTGGTTGCCTGAAAACACAAACTTTCGAAAATAGGTTTCAAAGTGCAAGTTTTTGAAAACGATACTGTTACTGTCTCAGTATAAACTACAAAAACGTAAATTTGTGAAAACTGTGTAGGGAAAAGCCTATGACCAGTTTGATGATAAACCACAATAAAAAGTCCTGACAGTTAGTATTACCATTTCATTTTTTAAGCATTATTAAAACCGTATTTGATTATCGCGATTTGAAAAACTCGAGGTAAATACTGCTCAGAGTTAAGCAAAGTTAGCAAGAGTCTCACGCAGGCACAACAGTGTAGGTTTGTTTTTGTGTGAAAACATAACGCAAGACAGAGTGCTCAAAGAAATTCTATGAAAGAATGTATGAATTAATTAATTCTATGAATGCATAAGGGACAACCGACTGTCTTCAGAAAAGTGTCAATTGCATTTGTTTTTCATCTTTCCTCCATGAAACGTCTAATACAGTAATGTTTATAAGTGCAGCGCTGCTTTGTGTACAGTGTTTACTGGGAAAGCCGGTCTATTTCTGCTGTTCATAAGCGCCACCTGCTGTCAGATAGTGGAGTTACATTTTCATTCAGTCTGTCTGGAGTTTGTGTTCAGACCAATGCAAAAATTGGACCAATCCAGTCTGTTTTAAATCCTAACTGGTAGATGGAAAACAAGCTAATGTGCATTCTAAAAATCTCAACACTTTGAATAACAAGGTAGCCTATTTATAATTATTTATGAAGCAGAAAAAATGCCTATAATTTATCATTTTGACTCATCCTTTTTTACAAATAAAGACTGAAATGTGAGGTTTATCATTTTATAAAGCTTTATTTGAATATGTAGTACATGTTAGTAGATAACATGTTATGTTGTGTGCATGCGTGTGTGTGTGTGTGTGTGTGTGTATACGTATATGTATGTATACACACACACACACACACACAAACACACACACACACACACACACACACACACATACAGTATATATATATATATACACTAGTCCTGTCAAATGATTAATCGCAATAAAAGCTATGTGTACTATATGTATGTGTACTGTGCATATTTATTATGTATATATAAATGCACACACATACATTATATATTTTGAAAATATTTACATGTATATACATTTAGATATTTATATTCTTATATTTTATATTATATATAAATATATTTAATATATAAACAACATATTTTTCTTAAATATATACATGCATGTGTTTGTATTTATATATACATAATAAATATACACAGTATGCACACATATATTATGTAAACAAAAACTTTTATTTTGGATGCGATTAATCATGATACAGCACTATTTAAAACATAACTTGCATTGCATTTTCCCCCCTCAAAATTTCGTAAAAGCACTTAAACAATCATTAATGGACTCTGTCATCATTCAGCAATTTCTAAAATGAGTCTGGCTTTTCATTTCAGTGCTTCCTTCAAGTTAAGACCACCAAGTTAAGTGCATAATA